TAGCTAATGAATCTAAAGCACACTTGAAGTGTGGAAGACCGATCGATTCTAAAAGCAAAAATTCAAAAAAAAAAGAAAAAAAAATTAAAATAAAGGATGCAAATTTTTGTAAAACGGTCCAAGATATTTATGATAATAACTTCGGGAAGAAGTCCGAATGCTTAAGAAAAATCAAGAGACTTTGATAAATTATGTCAATATAGGAAGAAAATAAGACAAAAAAGAAACATTTATTGGTAAGATTTTTGCATATAATGTTTCAATTGATATCTTGAATGAAAATAAAGATTCGAGCTTAAATTTATTAAAGAATGTCGACATAAAGATGATTCACCTAAATGAAAAGAGCAATCTAGACGAAATTTTATTCTCTTACAAATGAATAGTTTTTTGAACCCATAGTCAAAACACATGAAGATGTTAAGCTAGTGGGATATAAATGTGTATTTATGTGAAAATAAAATAAGAAAGATGTGATTGTAAGATACAAAGTAAGACTTTTAACACAAGATTTTTCACAAAGAACTGACATTGACTATGAGGAGACATATTCTCCTATAATAGATGCAATTATATTTTGTTATCTCATTAGCCTAGTAAAATATATGAAAAAAATTCATATGCATGTATTTAATAAATATGATCATAGTTTATTTGTTCATTTGAAATGATATCTATATAAAAGTCCTAGAAGAACTTAAGATGCCCGAAGCATGTAATATATATTCTCAATAAATGAATTCAATTAAATTATAGAGATCTCTATCGGAATTATTTTAGTATTACTTTTATTATTTTAGTTTTTAGAAATTCAATTTATCCTATACTTTTTATATTTATTTTTTTTATTTTTCAATGTCTATTTTTTATTACTAACTTGTATGCATATGATATAATTATTTCAATAAATATTTATTGAAAGAAGGTTATAAAAATAATCATATTTATTCATGTATTTTTATAAAGAAATTTCAAAAGGGGTTTGTGATAGTTGTTATATATGTTGATGATTTAAATATTATTAGAACTCCTAAAAAGATTTCAAATGTCATAAGTTATCTAAAAGAAGAATTTGATATAAAATATCTTGAATTTTTTTTTATCTATATCTATAGTTTGAGCACTTAAAGAACAAGATTTTTATTCATCGAGTCAATTTATACGAAAGGATTCTATAATGATTTTATATAAAGATCATTCATTGACTAGCCCAATGGTAGTTCATTGACTTGATATCCAAAAAGACCCCTTTTGACCTCGAGAAAATAACGAAAAACTACTTGGTCACGAAGTACCACATCTTAGTTCCACTAGTGTATTGATATATATTGCTAATAAGACTCGATCCGATATAGTCTTTTCTATAAATTTATTCGCAAGTCATAGTTCTACTCAAATATGGAGATTGGAATGGAATTAAACCTTTTCTACATTATTTTTAAGAAAAAAATTGATATGGTATTTATTTTACGGAAATGAATCAAAGTCGGGTTTTATTGGTTAGGTAGATACAATTTATTTATCTTATCCACACAAAACTCGTTCACAAATGGGTTATGCATTTACACTTGGTGATAGAATTATATTATGATGTTCTATGAAGCAAATTATAGCTACTAGATATTCAAATTATGCAAAAATACTAATTCATGAGACAAATCAAAAATGTGTTTGGCTAAGATCAATGATTTATCTATCCGAGAGACGTAGAGCTTATCTACCGACAAAAAAAGTTTCAACAATATTATATAAAGATAATATTGCTTGCATAATTCTATTAAAGGAAGAATATATCAAAATGACAATCCGATAGAATTATTCGCTAAGGCATTACCTACCACAACTTTTGAGAAAATGATTACAAGATTCAAATACATCGTCTTAAAGATCTCAAATGATGTTTTCAATAGTGGGAGGCTAATATTGAGATTAATGAGTTCAAGGAATATTGTACTCTTTTTTCTTTACTAGGATTTTTTCCCATTGAGTTTTTTTTCTAGTAAGGTTTCAACGAGTTATGTTCCTTATACGATGGACATTCAAGAGGAGTGTTATGAAATAATGAATGTCCATTTCATATTCTTCACTATTCATATGATTTAATTCACCATTCAGTATGAGAAATTGAAAAGGTGATGCAATTTATTCAATTATTTATGCATCTTTTAATGGTTTATAATCTTTTCAAATTCTCTTCCTAATCTTGAAGCCTACAAATATGCTTGATTGTTCATTAGTTTATGCACAAGTACTTTGTAGAGATTGAAAGATTATTTGGAGTTGTTATCTCTTGTATTCACTTTATCTTATAATGAATTCATTTTTCTATCATCTTTCTCTTCAATTATACTATTGTTACTATTTGTTTCATAAAAAGTACAAGTTAGCATGTAATTGTTTTAGGAATAATAATAATAATAATTATTATTATTATATTTATGTAATTGTTAATTAGTCTTTTAAGCATGTCATCAAAACGAATAATTATATTTAAGTAATTGTTAATTAGTCTCTTGAGCATGTAATTAAAAAAAATAATTATATTTAAGTAATTGTTAATTAATCTCTTAAGCATGTAATTAAAAACAAATAATTATATTTAAGTAATTGTTGATTAGTATCTTAAGCATGTAATTTAAAAAATGATTATATGGTTTCTTTAATTATATAATTATTTGGTTTTTGCAAGAGATTCACACATTTTCTTTTATAAAAATGATTTAATATGTTGGTAAATATTATATTAACTTGTTCAATATTATATATAAGTGAATAATTATAATATAATGGATTCTTTGGAATTAAAAATATGTTAAATGATAATTTCTTGAACAATTATCTAATAACTTGTACTAATTATTTTTATATATTTTTAATGAACATAAAATTTGCAACACATTATTAGAAAAATTAACAATAATAATATAACGGACTCTTTTTAGTATTAAGGATAAATTATAAACTTAGCTCATTATATAAAGACATGAAAAACTTAATATGTTAAGTTGTAAGAGGTATTTTTATCAAAGTAAAGGTCATATGATATTTTTGATAGTTTGATTGAAAAAATTAACTCTATTGATATATTGAAAATCAATTTAAACAATAAAGATATATTAAAGACGTTTTAAAATTTAAAAATAGATTGAAAAATTAATCTATTATATAATAATAAGTGAAGGTATTAACCTTTTTAAAAAGATAAAGATAACATTATTTTTTTTAAAGGTGCAACGTTGTCAGCAATGCATATTTACCTTAACAATTATTGCAATACTTTAAGTATTATTATTTCACTTTTTTAACCTTACATTAGATCTCATGCATGTAAAATGTCATGCCATTTTTTCTTTTGTTTTTGTTTTTATAAAACCAATTAAGTAGTTGAGTATCTATCCACATAGTATATCTTCACAATGTCTAATATGTGCTTTAAAATTACAAAAATTTAACAAAACCATTTTTTTTTTCAATTTCTATTTTTTTAGAGCTATTATTGCTTTCCTATTTTTTTTTTTTAAAATCCAATCCCCTATACAAAATTTAATAGAAAAAATATCACAAAAGACTTAAGTATTATTAGACTTTGAAAGACTGGAATAAACTAATAATTTCAAAATTTTTATTCCAATTTAATATTTTATTAAAAATAATTTTATATCAATAAAAACATCCATAGTAGTTTTTTTATCAAGAAAAAGGAATGGTCCCCTACTCACTTAAATATGTATGCTTCACAGAATTCGTCTAATTAAAATGCCCACAATAAAACAACCCCTCATTTTGTGATATATTTCGACAAAAAATAAAAGTAAAATGACTTTAATGCCCATTTATCGAGCCCTCCCTCGTCATAGGGGAAAAAAACCACTTTGGCCCACATATGTTGTTTTTGTTGATATTGCCTTCAACTTTGAAAGTCCATGAAGGTTTGCCTGCCTCTTTATATTAGTGTTCTCCTTCCACAACCCTTCTTTACATTATAAAAAATGAAATGCACTTTGTTTTTTGTTATAGTGTGCAACCTTTTTTAACTTATGGAAAATTAATTTTCTTTTCAAATTATGATGTATAATATTGTGCATAAATATCTTTTATTTATGATTTATCATAACAATATATAATTAGATATCGGGTGTTTAAAAATTTTATCTCATTTTTCAATTCACATCGATTGTTCTATCGAATTTGATAGGTGAATGATGAATAAGTGTAGTCCAATTGAGTACTCAACAAGTACGAATAAATTAGGAGCTAAATTATTATATAGATTTAGTCTATCATTTAAAATTATGAACCAAATTAGAAAATGTTTTACACATCATTGAATTCGTTTACATTATTTTTGTGATGGATGCATTATTAATTATTTTGTTCTATAATTATCTATAGTTATAAACGTATTATGAAAGATTTTATTTCTAAATGGCTAAACTTGGTGACTGGTGAGGGGCTTTGGAAAGTGGATTATGTTCCCTTAGTAAGTTGTTTAAAATAATTAATTTTAATTTCCAGATAAATCTTTAGGGTTTTCCAAAAGCAATTGGATTGGAGAGGCAAAAACAAAAAGGGAAATGTCATTTTCAAACAACATTTTCATTGCAAAAAGCCACCAGAGACAATTAGAATCGGTACAAGCGATTGGAAAGAGAACATATTTCCTGCACACACACCAAAAAAAAAAAAAAAGAAAAAAGAAAAAACATCAACATCTAGTTAGAAATTTAAAAAACTAAGCACATAACAACTCTATATTCACATGGAACAAAACTTAATTTCGATTACTGTAAAAGCAGATATTAAAATATTCATTATTTATAATAAAAAAATAATAATAAACAAGAATTAAGCATGTCCACTTTGAAAATATAACATAAAACAGTATGTATAGCATAAAGTAACTCGCAAGTTGCAGCACAATGCATGAATCTTAAATTTTGATTGCAAGAGAATGCATGTAATATCAGTATGGGTATGGGCGTGAGGTGGATGGTGACACCTTAGCAATTGGGCACAGGAGTGCTGGGGTTGCACTTGGAAGGCAAACCCATGGCAAGATCAGGATCAATACCAAGATAAGGCAACAAGTATGAATTCTTGTAAGAGCACAGGCATGTCAAGTTAGCCCCAGAAACAGCCTTGCAACAATCAATTGATGGTGGGTCAACCGGGTTTGGTTCTGTCACAGATGGTCTGCAAGCCGAAAGACCATCTTCACTAATGTCACATATGCTCATTGCCAGTGAGCCCTCAAATAAAGCAGCAACCATCAACAATGGCAACACCACCAGCTGCATCTTTGCCATCTCCAACTACTTTTGTCTATATGGTGTATACTATCTCAGAGCCTACACTTGTTGGTACATTGGAGGATTGTAATTATACATACATATATATATATATATAGAGAGAGAGAGAGAGAGAGTTTGAGGCAAGAACCACAAGTTAGGGACCCGTGAATGAGAATTGGCAGGATTCAGGATCACGGGGGCAGCTCTGCTCATATATATATATATATATATATATAAGAGTATATTTTCTTGGATGAATGATGCCTACTGCTTTGGCCTATTGGTTTAATTTTGGTCTGATAACAAGATGAGGCCACTCAAAGCTAAAATGGGGTAGTTAAATGGATTGGAAGGAATAATTCAATTTGTCTTCTAATGCATGCATGCGTACACGGATTTAACTTAATTTAACTGGATTATGAAACCCAATTATTGCAGAAAGTAGTTCTTTTCCTTAGCTGGCCAAAGAGCAAAGCTGTTGGCGAATCTACTGCCTTCTCCTTCTCCTTCTTCTTCATTTTTTTTTTTTAATGAATTAGATACATTTTATTGAAGATTAAAGGAGTACAAGAGGTTGGATGGCTAATAAGAGAATGATAAATGGCAAAACAATCCCCTGAAATTTTGATAAAATTCAACTAAAATTTTAACTTTTTTATTTTAATATCTCGAGCTATTAGATCAAATCAATTGAGAAGACTAACTGGTAAAATGACTTTCCGAACTTTTGGTAAAATCCAATTAATTTAATCCTTGACTTTTTTTTTTTTTTTTTTAAATTTATACCTCGATCTATCAGGTCAAAGCAATCGACCAAATGCGTTAGGCTTATTTAAACTTCCCGTCCTAATAGAACAGAAAAAATATATCCAATTTAAGTTAATTGTTTTAATTTGATAGCTCGAAGTACAAAAAAAAAAAAAAAAAAAAGATCAGAAGTGAAATTGAATTTCACTAAAACTTTAGGAGTTCATTTTAATCTTAGGCCAGAATGGTTCTTTTATAAGAAATGTATATGCTCCGTTGTCTAACAAAAAATTAACTAGGTAATTTCATTAATCATGATATATTTTTGTTTTATTTTGGTTTGGGTCTAAACTCTATACTAAATAGATTATATTGACAACGAGTTTCGTCCAACATGAAGTTTTGGTCATGCAAGAATAGACATGAGTATTCTTGTAAGGTTAGTATCCATGTCTTGTTTTTGAAATATATTAGGCGAGATTGATTGGATAGATTAAGAGTAAAGCCCGCTAAAAGAAAGCCCATTTATTACTTTTTGTAGGTTTTGCTTGCAAATTGAAGAGTTTATTCTTAAAAAAACCTAATTTTCTTTTGTGTGGTTCAAATCTTACAATATAAAGTAGAAGACACGGCTCAATCCGAGTGATGAAGGGTAATTCTTCTTTTATTATAAATACTAATTTCATATCAATTTTAATGAGATTCCAACTTTCACTCCCTTTGGGCTAAACATAACTCTCTTTCACATATCTCTCATTCTCGGAATTCATAACACACAACTCTTGAAGCTCATTTTGTTTAGACTTTGCTCCTTTATCCATCTACCACTTGATTTATGTCTTATTAGCATTGTTTGCTATTTTTTTTATGCATTTTACTATTTGTATCTATTTTACTTGGTTGATGTTATAAGATATCAAAGATTTCAAAATATATTATATGTTTCAATTATGCAAACTATATTTATAAATGTAGTACATATATGTGATAACTCTTTGTAACAACACATGATATAGCAAGTGCATAGAATGAATACATTAGTGTTTGAAAGTTAAAAGGAGATCAATAAATAATAACAAACCTAGCACTCCTTAACAAGCTCTTGGACATCTTGTAAGTAAAGCTTATTTCTAAGAAACTAAAAACGAGAGATGGATAATGATTTGGTGAAGATATCAACCACTTGATCTTTTGTTATAATGAATTGAACATGAAGAGCACCGTTTGCACATGTTTCCTCACAAAATAATAGTCAAGTTTGATGTACATCGTCCAAGCATGAAACACCAAATTGGACATAAGATAAATTGCACTAATTTATCAATCCATTAGATCGTTTTAGAAACAACAAAACTTACTTTAGCAAGTAAGTATTGAAACCATATGACCTCAATTGTCACATTCAAAATGGCTTTGTACTCACTCTTTGTAGAGGAGCGAGTAATAATGGGTTGTTTTTTAGCCATCCATAAAACAAATAATGACTCCAATAAAATACCATAATCACTTGTGGATCATCTATCATCTAACTCACCTACTCAATCACTATTTGTATAACATTATAGATTAAAAACTGAATTGGATTTGAAGAACAAACCTTTTGATTAAGTGCATTTTGCAAGTAACAAAGAAATCTTTTTAATGGTTTCCAATGCTCATTACTTGAATTATACATGAATTGATAAAGTTCATTAATTATGTATGCTATATCTCACTCGAGTGATAGTAATATATTGAAAGATACCAACTAGTTTTTTATATTGATCAATATGGTATAACACACTCGCCACTCGTTTTTAATAAAGAAGGAAAGAATGCCATATGAGTTAAACATATATTGGATTCCTCCATAATAGTGCAATCAAGAAGATTACCAATATATTTTTGTTAAGAGAGCAATGTACCATTAGGCTTAAGTAAATATCTCTATACTAAGAAAATAATAAAGTTGACATAAATTTGGAACGAATACTCTTGTTTAATTTCAGCAATGATATCCAAGATCAAGTTTTGAGAAGATCCTATGATTATTAAGTCATCAACATAAATAAATAGGAAAAAAACATCAGCATCATTTTGAAAAATTAATAGAGATGTATCAATCATGGATGGTTTAAAATTCAATGAGAGGAAAAATCGACCGAGTCTTATAAACCAAGCTTATAGGATTTGTTTCAACCTATAGAGACAATAGTTTGATATACGAATAACATATGTGAAGGATCATGTATACTATAAAGGTGTAGAATAAAACAAAAATTTTCCTTCATCGAAAGGGCCCAAGATCATGTCATTGAATCAACTAATCATATATTTATAAATTAAAGCATTAAATAAAGAATTACCTCTTGTAGCATAGATTTAAATTCTTTAGCAAAGAAAGGAGCCGTCCAAGTGTCCGACCTCTATTGATAATCCACGCAATCCAAACACCACACAAGAAGCACTTAAAATGGATAGAGTGCTAGCTCCATCTTTTCTGACTTTGTTTAGTGTTTTATCTTAAAAACCAAATCGGGGTAATTTTGTAATAACCCTAAGAGAGAAAGTGAAAGTGGTGTGTGCTAGGTTTTGGAGAGAAAACTATTTTCTTTTTTTTTCTTGCTAAATGTCGTGTGCCCTATTTTCTTTCTTTGTGTCATTTTTATCTCTCTATTAAGTCCCTTAATGTTGCCGCACCTCTCTCGAATATATATAGAAGAGAGGCTTACTTGTTCTCCAAGGAAAAAGAAGGGGCAATGAGTCCGTAAAGGACTATAGGTTGGTTCTTTTTAATCTTTCAAGGATAAAAAATTATTATGCATGTGATTTTTTTGATCTTAACCTTTAAAACATTCATCCTTATCTAATAAGGTTCATGTTTATCCTCTTATCAAAATATCTATCAATCTTTTAATTAAACGTATTGGTCTAAACTATTTTGACCCAATTAATTAATTAGGACTATCCAAATAAATTAGATTAGATAATTTTAGGTAGTCCACATTGAGAAATAATTTTTCAAAATACCCTTAAACCAAAATTAGAAAACTAATTTCCTTTTAGGTTATTTACTTTCAAATTTAGAACTGAATTTTAAGTTAGGAAACTAATTTCTAAAATAAGAAACTTTCCATTTCCGAAACGTTTTTCAAAATAGGAAACTTTTAAATTGAAAACTTTTTCCAACATCTTTGCTTATCTTTTATTATGTGAATGCTTAAATTTATGTGTGTGACTCAATAGAATCTTATGTTGGCAATGTATCAAGAATAAAAGACACCTTTTTATGTTTCGATACATAAATCAAGATTAGCTTATAACAAGGTATCATGATTATCCAATTCTCTATGAGGATTAATTAATTTGCAATTATTTTTCATGAACATGGTTACCATATAATTCAATCATCATGTCAACTTATTACGAGTGTGATCTTGAACTTGATTATTAGCCTTGTTCGATAATGATCATATAAGTTTTCTTTAATTCCTAAATGTCTTAACTCTTAGGTGTTGTTTGGTAATCGGGAATAGAGTGATGAGAATGAGAATGAAAGTTTTATTTTCACTTTGTAGTTGTTTGGTTAAAAGGAATAAAGTGGAAATGGGAATGAAGAATGAGAATGGGAATGAAAATTTACACACAACTTTATTCTCACATAAAATATGGGAATAAAAAATAGAAAATGAGAATGAATTTTTTTTAAAAATAATAATATATTTTATTTATTTATTATCTATTAACTACTTTTGCCACCATCACCATCACCACCACTATAACTACCACTACCACCACCATTACAACAACCACAACCACCACTACCACTATTACAACCACAACCACTACAACCACTATCTTCATCACCACCACCATTATAACTACCATCACCCTATCTTCATCACCACCCTATCTTCATCACCACCACCATCACAACTACAACCACCACACCATCATTGCAACCACCACAACCACCATCATAACCACCACCACCACCACCATCACCCAACCATTACCACTACTAACATCATCACAACCACCACCACTACCACTACCACAACCATCATTATCACAATCACAACCACCATCACTACCACAATCATTACCGCCACCACCATCATCACTACTAGAACCATCACAATCACTACCATCACCTTTATTATTTTTATAATTATTATAGTTTGATAAAATTATTTTTTAATCATTATTTATATTTGTATACAAAATCAGATATTAAAAAATTTAAATTGCATTCTAATTCCTTATTAGTATTGCAAACACGATATTGG